GAGAATCCTAAAGGAACGCCAGACACTAACACAACAATCTAATGAAAGAAAATCCTAAACGCGCGCGAGATACTAATATAACAATCCCATGAAAGAGAATCGTAAAAGCGCACGAGATACGTAAGTAACAATCAAATAAAAGAGAGTTCTTAACGTAACAACTATATGAGAGAGAATCAAAGGATAGCGCAAGATACTATCGTAACATTTATCATTCACATTAAAAAAAAACAGAAAAACTTGATATTGATTTAAACTAAGAAAGTATATCTTTTTTATTATACGTCAACTGTCAAAGGTCTGAAACTTAACCTTCAACCACCAAAGGCCTTAAAAATTAATTGTCGAACGTCAAAAGTGAAAAAAAAAGTAATGACTGTCAACCATCAAAGCTAACCCTTCATCTATTAAGATTTTCTTGCAACTGAAGATGGCACGAATAACATCGAAATTGCAAATTGAAAATGTTGGGTTTTTTTTATGCGAGCTGTAATAGGTTTCATTTCAGTTCAATAAATTTTTATGTCTGTGTCTTTGACCGAAGATACGCCGGCCTCTACGTTATCCTTCTTTTCGAGTCTGCTTCAACGAGGTTAAGATACTGTTCATAAAGATATCGATAGGTAAGCGTAGTTGTCTAATAATCGTAAGGAAACTGAAGCGTAGGATATTGACCTAATCGATATTTCTAGTGGTATGAGACAAAAATGCTTATGTCAACAGCTACGTGACCTTCATCATTATCATATAGTTATATGATCCACATCTACGTACTTGGTAGAACGTGACATAACAGACATAAAAATTTATTGGAATGAAATGAAACCTATCACAGCTCGCGTGAAAAAAAAAAAAACCAACATGTAATTGAAATGTAGAACGCATGACAAAAAAAGCCCTGTTTTTGAAATACATACCACAGTTCAACTCTTCGAACTACCTCAAATTGATCAGGGGGTCTTTTTACCTGAATCAAGTGTCAGACCTTTTCTGTGGCGATGATTGAACGAAACTCAATTTTTCCGGTATCCGCTTCGAGACTAACAAACGAGCCAAGATTCTTTCACGTGAATTGTCCCAAACGCTGTATTATATAACAAGTGAGATACAAAACAGTCGCCATAGATTCTAGTTTTTTTCCTTGAACAAGCTGCTTAAAGTTGTTGCATAGGTTTCGATAAGAGCTGACGAGAGGGTGCGGTCACCATATGCAAATTACCCTAAATATGGGCCCTACCTCTGGTAGGCGACCACCTCCCGTAAGCGATCACCGAGACGTAACATATCGCGTGGACGCTTACGGGAGGCTCGACTATATTTAAAGGAGATATATACAAGGACATGATTTTTATTTCTGCGATTTAAAATTTTACATGAAATGATGTCTCTAATTGCGTCTCGAGGTCCAGAAGAGTAACCTGCCCTTTTGAAAATTGTCCACTTATACGTTGAAAATTCGACTTTGATCATCGCGCCGTCCGCCGCTATTTTGAATGAATTTCGCTAACGACCAATTCGCTAATGTCTTAGGTCGTTTCTCCAACGTCTGAGGTCAGTTCGCTACCATTTCATTGGTCGTTTCGTTAATTTTTTTTTAGCTAGGTTATTTCACTATCGTCTCCTCTGCATTTGTGTATATGGATCATTTGCACAAGATTCACATCATTGCACCGTAGACGAGCGAAACCTCCAAACTTATCCTTTGCCTTGTATCGAAATGACTCGAGTTGCATCAAATCAACTTCTTGCCTTATCGAATCGACTTTGTTGATTTATTAAACCGGCTTCAGTTGGTCTTGAATCGACTCGTATCGGATCGACTTCCAGTTTGTATTGAAACGGCTTAATTCCCTATGCCCTGTCGCCAGATCACAAGGCGGTCAAATCTACAAGTCATGTCGCCTACAGTTCATTTGACCCAAAAGTTAACTCGCTAACAGGTCAGTTTCGCCTACAAATAATCTTGCCTACGGCTCGGTTCGCGCAGAAGTCATTTCAACAACAGGGTTTTTTTACCCACAAATCGTCTCGCCTACGGGTTGGTTCGCCCTCAAGTCATTTCGCCTACCGGTCAGTTTCGCCTTCAAGTCATCTCGGATACAGGTCTGTTTCGCCTCCGGGACATCTCGGATACAGGTCAGTTTCACCGACAAGTCATCTTAGATACAGGTCTGTTTCGCCAACGGTTCATCTCAGGTACAGATCTGTTTCGCCTACGGTTCAGTTCACCTTAAAGTCGACTTTCCTACAGGTCAGTTTCTCCTAAAACTAATTTCGCTAACGGGTCGGTTCACCCACGTCAAGTTCCCCAGTTATTTTGTCGCCCAGTCTCCCTAACCTGGTGCTCATGTTAGAACCTTAACATTATATCAGTTAAATTATGAAATACCGAAAAATCACAAGATAAAGACACAAAGACATTTTTAGTCCAACTTGTGTGCATTCAAGGCAACTGTGTATACTCTGCCAAATTCAACTACAAAAGGGAGACCTTTGAAGTCGAATTACAGTCAAGTCGCCCACTGACCAACTCGCCCACGGACCAACTTGATGCAAATCCCCGAACAATCACTTTGGTTCTTTGGTTTAAAATATAACACAACACACAAAACGACAAAAAGCTGTGACATAAACAAAATAAACGCTTTCTTACTGAAGAAATCCACATTTCCGTGGCGTAATAAGTGTCAGAAAGGCGTTGGAAAGCGTTCGTGACATCTAAGTGTTCATTTGTAACGGTATGCCGGTTGCCGTACACATCGGTTTGGGGTATTACAACGACATAGCTTAACGAATCATTGTCGAAACTTAGAAACTTCAGTTATTTATTATCATTCCATACAACATCAAACCCTAACTTAAAACAACATTAATTATGTAATGAGCTTATTGAAGCAATCTTATGCATGGGTGAGTTGGCGTGGGTGAGTTGGTCCGTGGGCGACTTGAGCGGATACCTTGAATTGTAGTAAGTTGAAACCCTAATTGTTGCAATTGGACAGGTGAGATGACTTGTGGGGGAAGTTACCCGTAGACGAGATAACTTGTGGGCGAAACTGACCCTTTTCAATTTGTTAGCGAACTGCCTTAAGAAGGGGAGCGAAACGACCTAAGACGTTAGCGAACTGGTCATTGGCGAAAAGAATGGCTTACCTTTTAAACTCTAAATTAAGTCTCCCCCTTCTTTAAGTTTTAGCGCAATTGAAATTAATTCTGGAACGGGTTACTCTCATGAAACGCTGAGTATGCTAGAAAATAAATTTTCAAGTTAATTTTTTCTACGTGTGAAGCTTATATCTGGAGAAGTGTTATTGGTTCTTTGCTAGGGAAAATAATTATGTTGGAGCCTTGTAGAGCTAGAAAAGAAAACGAGTGGGCCCTGGGCATTAATGTAATCTTTAATGGCCGACCCGGAGGACCTAGCAACGGAAGGTGAGGTGATGAACCCAAATATTAGCTTTTGATGGCGGTAAAAGTAGGGAGTTCGCTAAAATACTTACGAAGTTAAATTTTTTTTATGCATGTGTAGATTATTTCACATTTTTTCTCAACGTTGCCGATGACAATCAAATTATAAACAAATTGGTCGCGAAGCACGGTTGTCTTTTGTATTACCCTGTCTATTGTGAGTTGATGCCATCTGGTGTTAAGCCTAATGTTTATGTCTTTTCCTTGTCCTATAGATTTCTAAGCTTCATTTCCCTTTCGTTGTGGTGATGTTGAGTTAACTTGTGTGTGTGTTGAGTGAACAAGACCTCGTGAAGCTGTTTGCGTAGATGACTTTTCTTTTGTTCAGTTTCCTTTGTAAACTTTTTGGTCGTCAAGATGTGCTTAATTAGGCCCAAGTATTTATTTGATCATCACGATTAAATGTGGTATGAATTGTGTTATTTACAGACCATGGAAGAATCTTTTTAAAAAAAAATTGTTAATTCCTTTATTTTGATTTGTAAAGAAGTCGAAAACCAGTTGATGCTTCTCCATTAGTTTTGGATTAAATGATATTCAATCTTGTGAATGTTGTTGATTTCGCTTCAGGAATGAACTGGTACAACAATATATGGTTAGCTTCAGTGGAAGTTCTTTCATGTAGTTAGGCTGCATTTATTCCATACCTTAAATTCAGTCAGTCTGACAACCTTTCATCCTGTATCATTTTTCAGTTATTTACTAAAGGCAAGGTCAAAATTGTTAAGTAAACCTCAAGACAAAGTTATGCAAATTATGCAATAATATTCGCAGGTCTTGAGTAGAATAATTGTTTTCCTTAATTGATCAGGTGATTATCAGAGCAACTTTTTCTGTGTTTTGTTTTCTTCTTTAGAAGTATCTAAAATTCTGCATCTGCTTGAAATTTAGTGCTTAAAAGCAGTAATCACCTTGGGTAGTTGGTTACACCAAGATTTGATGTAGTCTTTAACCAGGATCATTTCTATAATCTCTTTGGGAATATTATGATACTTAACTTTTTACACCAGTGAGGTGCAGTGGCCTCATGGTTAGTGTGCTTGACTCTGGATCGAGTGGTCTGGGTTTGAGCCCTGGACGGGGTCATTGTGTTGTGTTCTTAGGCAAGACACTTTACTCTCACAGTGCTTCTCTTCACCCAGGTGTACAAATGGTTACCAGCAAATATACTGGGGGTAACACTGCGATGGACTTGCATCCCATCCAGGGGGGAATAGCAATACTCCTACCTGCTTCATGCTAAGGAAACCAGAGTTAAGCGCTAGCCCCACAGGCCACTTGGGCCTGTCTAAAGGCTTTACTTTTTGCTTTATCTAACTCTTTACACCCTGACATCTGTGTGCAAGTTCTCTGAACTGTTCTCTATAAATTTCTCCTGTACTTGCAGGAGAATTCATCTAACAATGAAGAGCTTCTTGAGTTTGTAGCTATTTCCTTTATTTTAATGACCTTAATGAGAGATTTAGGGATGATATTGTAAGGAGAAATTAGATGCTAGTCACTCTTGGAGGTCAAAGGGTTAAGAAAACTGATGATGTCCCTTGCTTGTTACTAAACAAGTAATATCTTTCTTTATTCAATGATCAAACTAAAAATTATCTGTCCTCCTCACTTAGCTTACTCTCTTAAATAGTGAATTACACTCTCATACAGAAGCAGTATCTGTTAAAGTTTTCAACTTTCAACAATTAAAAATATTACAGTGCTTCATTCAGCTGTCAAAGTGCTTTAATTCCAACCTTGTTTTTTTTCCCCCTACAGTTAACAATCAATAAAGAGGAGGAGAATGAAATTGACTCACCTAAACCATGACTTCTCCAAGATTTGTGACTAAGATTGTTGGAGGAAAATTAGTTACAGTTCCAGACTACCGTGGTTTGCCATCATCACGGCATAGTGGCCTCAGTGCTACCTATCCACGGGGAAAATATGATCCCAGTCCAACATCTAAAATAGGTGGCACATCTTACCCTGTCCTTCCACCTATCTCTGAGGGTAAGCAAACTTTAAACAATTCTAGCTTAATTATGCTAAAGAATGATTGTTAAATATCATAAAATTAATTATAGCTCGCCTGTACATAAAGTGAGAATGGTAACAATTTTATGGTATCACTTGTACATTTAATTCATTCTTTGAGGAGGATTAATTGTTATCAATATCCTATATTATACATGTTTGCTAAATTCACACACTCTAAAATAGGAGAATGACAGAAATTAAATAATAATCTTTTTCCAACTTTTCATAACCTAACTTTGTATATAATGCTCACAAAAATTAAGTGAGTCAGTTTGGAGGTGCTAGCTTCCTAAGGGTGTGGTCAACCTAATGCAGGGATCTGGCATCAAATGTCAGTTTGTTGAGAATTGTCTCTCATTAAGTGGTTAAAAATTTTCTGTCTCTTCCTGCAGAAAAAAAAAATAAAACTTCAAACAGCAACTTGATTTGGAGATGAAGAGGAAAGCTACCTCATGAATGTGCCAATGCCAAAATCCAATTCTATTTAATGCATCCTTTATATTACTTCACATAGTTAGATACTAGTTAATGATTGTTTGTCCCATTTACTAAGGGTTGCACATGTACTAATTTCTGAACTTCTCTGTATAATTTACGTTTCACCTCTGACCAATCAATTTCAGACAGCCAACTTGCTCAAAAAGTAGCAGATGCTCTTAAGAATGTCAGCAAACAGAAGCTTTTAGATGTGAAACACAAGTTGTCTCTCCTGGACAAGGACCGCTCTGGTCGAATTACCACAGAAGAACTCAGACAAGTTCTCCTGTATTACCACATACTCATACTTGGTCCTACATTGACAGCTCTTGTCAAGAAGTTTGAAGTTGATAATGGCCTTGGAGTTCTTCATGAACCGCTGGCCAGATATTTGTTAGGTGATTGCTAAATGTAATTGAAATATACTTTATAACTCTCATGTTAGTATCTTGTTTATGCCACCTGCTATTTTTGCAAAAAACTTGACCTAAAATGCTGACTTCCTTTTCCCAAGATTACAAAATCTCAAACTGAATTTTAAGGTCTCTTTCTCAGCAAAAAAAGCCTCAAGCTGTTTGTTAGTGTCAAGGAAGCTTTAGCTAGGCTATTTATGATTGAGAACAGGTTTATTTACTTGGTGTTACTTTGGGTTTATCTGTGAAGTTCTTTTATTTTTCCAATTTCCAAACTGTTTAACATCAAATCTTTAAATAACTTTAAGAAATGAAAATTTTTTAATTTACAGATAGGTTGAAGGCAGGACTTTTGTGTTCCAGTGATGTTTCCCTTTTTTTCAAAATCTACAGACTGTCATGCATCAGAGGGTTGGCAAGCTAAAACCAAATTAAGTGCTGTTGGTTTGTCAAATCCTGTGCTCTCAAGTACTACTCAGTCTGCCAGTGGTAAAAATGATGCCCAGCTGCTGCTAGAAGTTGAAAATGAGCTGATGCAGGATAATGGAAGTTTGGACAGCAATGAACTGAGGACTTCATATCAGAACTATGACAAAGTAAGAATTTATTTTCAGTGGAAAATAAATAATGCAGTTGTGTAACAAATAACGCACTTTGTTGCATTTGCCATATTCATTTCTAAAATCAAACAGTACAGTTAACTATATTGAACAAAATTGTCAGTAGGGTATCAATTACGAGATTCTGAGGATAAAGGCAAGGATGTTAGTGACTGGGTGACCACTAAGCATGTTGGTCACAGGGTAGGCTGCTTTGTAGCATCCAGATTTGAGAGCTCTTGGTGTACTGTATTGTGTACTTTTATGAGATACATGCACCCACACTGCTTCTTTCCATTACTTCTCTACATCCCTACAGTTAGTCACTGCATTTTTGTTCATTTTACTCATTTCTTCTTTGAAAACATCAAGAATTGGTGTAACAGCCATTTGAATAGGAGTGGTAATCACCATATGTTGGGTAATTACAGCAAGATCGCATAGTTCTTGACCAATCAGAGTGTGTGCATCTCTATAATCACATGGGCAACTTAACTAATTACAACTGGTTTGAATGCCATGTGCAGCTCCTTATTCATAATTTATGGTTTAGACGAATGTCCACCTGAGTCGCTCCTTGTTGGAAAAACTGCTTGTAAGGTTTGATACAGAAGGAAGAGGCCGTGTTAAGTAAGTGTCCACTACATACAAATTGCTAATTTAATGTCATTTCTTAATAATTTGGGCTATTTGTGGTGAACATGAGTTAACTGAAAGTATTTGAAACTAATCTGTAATATGTAAATTCTCTGAAGATCAAAAGAAGAAATTTACAATGACCCAGCTAGAAGCAGTTTCAGATTGTAAATAGTAATTATAGTCTTATCTGCTGCCTGCCAAAGCAGCAGATGATATTGGCAGGTGATACAGAGAATACAAAACTTACTGATCATTGTTTTTAAAAATCTGCAGTTTATTTGAAGTAGGAGTTACCAAATTTAGTGTCATCATGTAATTGCTTGCAAAACATTCAGTAAGTGAACTCTTTTAGTTACTTTCCGATTTTTTTAGTTGGACAGATATGTCAAGATTCCTTGAAAAGGCCATGTCTGTAGCTGCTCTTGGAAACTCTCTGAGGTCAGAAGAAAAACTGTCCATTAAAAATTATGGCAGAACTAGTGCTGCAGTGGTGAAAAAGCATGACAGCAACTTAACAACTACCACAGAAACACAGACCAGCTCAGGTAAATGCTTCATGCAATATTTGATTTATTTAGTACAGTTAAATGCCTTGCACATACTGATGTTGGACCTACTAGACATGAGAAACTTTGGATCAATGTCAGTATCTGAAGAACTGTGCACCTACTCCTCCCCTATTCCAACATTGACCCTAACCTGTTATTACTTGACTGTTGTTGGGTCAGGATAGGGGTGGGTGTACAGTTGCTTGGGCACTGACATTGATCTGAATCTTGTTGTGTTTTCAAGGCAGAGTTTTGACAATATGAGAACTATATGCCAAAAGGTCTTTTTTGTTATCAGGTAGTATGTATCAATCATTTTGATTTGCCGTTTCATCACTTATTCTAACCATTCTTGAATCAATGTATGATTATTGTTTGCACCTTGGCCAACTTACAGATTAATTTTTGAACAGCAAGGACTTGCAAACCTAGGCAGTTGTGCTGGGTGAATGAGACTTAGTACCTTGCATAGCAATTTTTAAACTGTCTAATATTTTAATCTTTGCTTTCAAGGTATATAAAGAAATAATTCTGATTCCTTACAGTTGTCACTGTAAAGTAAATTTTGCTAATATTCTGCTCTGGATTTACATTTTTCATATAAAAGAACAATAAGCCTTTAATCCCAGTTGCCACTCTGATTCTCTGGGCTGGTATGAGAAATAAATCAGGTGACAATAGTGTTAAATATCAAACTAGTTGAACATGTCTTAATCTTAAATGTTAACGATTGAGTGTTAAAGCAATGAGCCAAATACACTAATATAAAACACTTTGAAACTTATGAAATGTTAATGCAGATCATAGAGCACGTTTTCCAAGGAAACATTCTGGCCTTAAACACAATGACAACAATTTTAAAAGGACTTTGGAAGATAAAGGTAAAGATTAAATAACTTACACACTAATTTAGAATTTTTGTCCAATTTTTTTTATGAACTAAACAAGATGTTCTGCAATTTAAACTGCTAGTCTTTTGGTGCCTCTCTTATTTAGGGATGTGAATGATTTTAGGGCCACTGGTTCTTCAGTTTTCATACGGTTATGTGTTCTGCCCGGCTTTATAAGTAAAATTGATTATTATTATGATTAGGGATAAAGCCTTTAACTTCTTGTTGTGACTGACTTGAAACTCCTCAACATTTTGTGCAATATTAACATTAACAGATGACAAGAAAGTAAAAACTTATCGTCTTGTGGAGGACTATATAGCAATTTCGAGTTGAACGTTGAACCTAATCCTAGATTGTATTGGTTTTGCTTTACTGTGCTATCTGATTGGTCTAGAAAATTCGTGCCAATCTATTAACCAATCAGAGGTAAAAACAAAACCAATGGTGCCTCGGTCACAGGCCTTTTTCCGCGCTTGAGCGCATGTGCTTGTCTGAACTTTGAGTTCTCAATGGCTTAATATTTTCCTTGGCTCTGATTGGCCGCTTTGGTTACCTTGGTTTGGCTTTTACATCATTCAATCAAAAAGTGCTTTAAGGCATTTACACGTACATACAATTCGCTTGATGGGAAGCAGAGCTAACCTTATTTAAGCGTCAAAGCATTCTATAATAATGGTGACCTTGCTAAATTGCCACACCAAGAAAAGTTATTCGTAACTGTGACACTCAGCTCATCCAACATAAAATTTAAATTACGTGTTCAAATGTTTATTGGTGATTCGATCAAAATAACATCTATTCATTGATCTGCTCTAATAGCTCTACTGACTTATTTTCTTTCCAAGGACCGAACCCTGAAGTACTAACGCTACGTGGCCGTAATATCTACCTATACCCACCTGATGAGTACGTTGGCATGGACACATCACCACAACCCCCCGAGGAAAAGCTGCAACTTGAGTGGGTGTAAGTTATCGAATTCGTCTTCTTTTTCGTCTGTATTAATTTAGTTTTATATACAAGTTTAAATAATTTTAATAAATGGATTTAGCCAAGCCTAAAGCGGACCTCCAGTTAGTTCATTTTCCAGCCGTTTACTTTTTTAAAGAGTTTATTCAAGAATATTTAGGGAACAGCTGTCCCGTAATTGACGGGTCTGGAACCAAGGGACGATATTCCCACAACTAGCAAGGCGATCAACATTCATGCCATTCAACGGTATTTTCAAGCAGCTGAAGCTTTCATCGATGTTCCCGATGTTATGAATTTTATTACAATATATGCATTCAGTGCTTTCAATTGAGTGTCGTAAAATCAAAACCCGAAATAACCATGACAGCTAATCAGAGAAAAATTAACGTCACAAGGAACCAAAAGGAAGTAATGTTGAGTACCTTTACGGGTAATCGAGCTCGTTATCGTGTGCTTCCACAACGCACGTGATACATGCCAAAATGCACGAGATACGTACATGCAGCCTTGCCGCTCCGGTTCCGCTAAAGAAATTGGTTAAATGAACTTTGTTTTGGTTTCGGTTTTCAGTTACGGTTACCGCGGCAGAGACTGCAGGAACAATCTTTTTGTGCTAAGCACAGGAGAACTCATTTACTTCACTGCAGCAGTGGTTGTGTTGTATGACGTACCCAACCATAAGCAGCGGCACTACACACAACATACGGATGACGTCAAGAGGTAATCGTCTTTTAATTAAGTAGTTCCTTGGCGAATAGTATTATTCACGTTCCTGCACATTTATCCATATGTAGCAGTGCCCAGGTGAGTTACTGATTCACAATAGCTACAAGCTAAAAGGCAATACGGTAGCATAAGCGACTCGGACAATTTTCTACTTCCCCCTGGACGGGAGTGCAGTATGTCAGGTTCACTGTAGCATCTCGTCTGATTTTCCTGTTGGTTTTTAGTCTCTCCGTCACTTATTTTTAACCTGATCCCGTTTGTTCAAAAGGCGGTCTGCGTTGATCTTGGATCAAAAGTTAGTCTTGGGTTTGATTTCTCTTCTTTAACAGCCTCCTTTTTTGCAGGGTCTCGTCTTAGTGAAAAGCAAAACTGAACGTAATTAGTTTTAAGGCCAATACACAATTTACTTTAACCCAAGGGTAGCGTAATTGTGTTTTGAACGACGCAGTTATGGTAGGGGCACCCCGGTGAAGTTCTTCTTTCACCTCCCAATAAACAATTGGAAGTTCTTCCTTCTTTCGGCAATACATAAAGGACAATATTTGTTTATTAAATACCTTCGATGACTTGAGATTCGCAGTTCCAATGGAAATGTAAAGCGGGTATCAGGAAAGAAACAGACTTGCCGCGAAATTTGTCAACTTTTAATGATTGTACCAATAACATGTTAATCATAGTTTGTGTGTCCACCCCGATGGAGTTACAATTGCTACAGGACAAGTCAAAGGACATGGTGATGACGCCAGGGTAAGTGTAACCGATCAACGTACATCTTCTCCTGCTCAATCCCCGTACATGGCATTTTTTCAAAGTTTTGAGAATTGAGTTTATTGATCAGTTCCTATGCACGGTTATCAGTCTAAGAATTGGTTTAATTTTTATTTTCGTTTTTTTTCTAATCAATTTATAGTCGCATATCAGAATTTGGGATTCCAACTCTTTAGAAACAATCTGCGTTATTGGATTGGATTATTTCAAAGACGCCGTCTTCGCTCTTGCATTCTCCAATAAGGTGAGCAATCTACGGGTTATCAGATATTTTTCACGTGTCTCCGTTATTTGCTGTGCTCATAATCACATGCTTGAAGGCCGCCTCTACCGCCGCAACCTGGGTTTTATTCCCAGACCTAACACCACCTGCTGGTTAAGTTTGCTGTTTGTCCCAGCCCTTCGTGAGCGGTTTCTTTTCCTGGTTCTCCTGGTTTTTTTCTCTCCACAGAAAACTAGCTTGCCCAATTCCACTTCCAATTATACTCAGCGGACGTAGAGCCCAGTGGCCACTTAAATCTAAATTTGAAGTACTATTCATTTCTTTATCTCTTTATTTATTTTTTTTCTTCTGTTTGATCGATGCAGTAACGCTACGTTTCTGCTTTCATTTCATCAGAGAAGCCAAGGAGAGTATCTTGCATCAGTAGAAGATAATGAATATCACACTGTGACCGTTTGGGACTGGAAACGAAAGAGAAAAATTACTTCTGCCAGGGTATGATAACAGAAAAAAAGAGAAGTTTGTATGTTTGGTTTCATTCAAACTTACGTTACCGTCCGCCCAGGGATGTTAGTAGGACGATCGGTACATTGATATTCCCAATCAAGGACCTCTTTATGTTTGCTGTCTCTTATAGTAACAGCTCATAGACAATAAAAAAAAAACACGAAAACAAAAAAACCAACAAAAGGAGCAACAAACAAAAGCGAAAACAGAAATTTAAAACAGTTAAGAGAGTTTGCAATGCAGGCACTGTCTACATGCAGGCACTGTCTACATGCAGGCACTGTCTACATGCAGGCACTGTCTACAAAGCTCCTTCGATTGTTTGTCAAATAAGGTGCTATGAGAAAACTAAATGAATTTGAAACTGCTGAACATTTAAATAAACCACTTTCTTTGGATTACAGGGTAACATGGACCAAGTTTTAGCAGTGAGTTTCTCTCCGTTCGAGAGCCATCAGTTTGTGACGTGCGGTAAACAACACGTGTCATTCTGGGAATTGGAAGAAAACAAACTGAAGCAAGCGCGAGGAAGAATGAGTGTAAGTCAACTGTTGAACTCAATGATTTTCCCATCGATGAAGCCGGGGTACACGAGAGGTTTAACGATACTTGTTTGAAGGAGTTCGTTTGGAAATATTTCGAAAGATGTTTTATCTGGAGTCTTGCTCGTTCCTTTCTAGCGGCGCACGCATGTGCCTCTGTGTCTAACTATTTGCCTGCTTGTTTTTCTGATTTTAGATTTGTTTATCTATCGTTCTATCTGTCACTGTCGCTCTATATTGCAGCCTGCAAACATCTTACACGTATCGGCTATTTTGCATTTTATCCGAAGACAATGCTTTCCAGCTTTTGAGCTTCTAAGGCTAGCCAATTATAGACAGGGATGGAAAGACTCGTCTAATTACTCCAAATAACGCTGATGATACCCTGTTTTTATGTCAATATATCAGAAAAACCGCCGACCAAAGTACGTGTCATGCATCGCTTTCTCCACAAACGGTGACGTCATTACAGGAGATACAGATGGCGCCATAAGCGTTTGGCCTGAGGGTTTGTGTTGAAAGAAATAATTGCTAATTAACTACCAATGAAGGGGTATCATAAGGATAATTCACAGCCTTTTAGAGGGATCAGGTTAATTTTATTATGACGCAACCAAAATCCTCCGCTCCCCTTCCCCCCTTAGGCCATAAATAATTAGCGGTCCCTAATGATACATTTTGGCCTTGGCAGAGGTGACAGGTCGTAGTTCTCAACGGATTGTAGTTTTAAAATTATTTCATGAGAAATTTAATTTTGCTCTTATGAGGGTCGAGGACTGAGCTGCAATTTCGAGAGAAGGATGAAATGGCCGATACAATGTAGCACAAGGCAAAGATGATATTTTTTAATGTTGCAATCATATTTCAACAGAATCGAACCAAGTTGCTGAGGAGCTTGGAGTAAGGAACGCTCATTCTGTAAGTATGGACTGTGGAATGAAGCGTGCTTCAAACAGAACTTTTCAGTGATTTGATATTTTCCTTGTTTCTAGGGCCCCGTCTACGCCTTGCTCGTTCTACCAAACGGTGTCATACTTTCAGGGGGAGGTGGCGAGTCGACCGTGAGAGCCTGGAGTAGAACACCAAGATTGGTCCCGACAAATGTCGAGCTTAAGGTTGGTAGGGAAGATGATGAAGTCAAGTTTTCATGGGTGTTGCGATCTTCTGTAGAGAGGATAGACTATCACAAGTTTTCCCCCATCACCATTCCTTGTAATATCTTACAGTTCTCTATTGCCCACTTGTAATTTTAAGAGGAGACGCATTGCAAGTGTTCACTTTAATAAAAGTGTCTTTCCCAAAATCACAACGTAATGAGCACGGGCAGGGCTTGAACACTTGACCTCTGATCCTAAGCCTTAATGGCACACTGACATATCCTAACCTAGGACCGAGCTTCCTTGGTGGGGACTGAGGATAGCCACTGAGGATTACCTGACTGCGTCTTCTGGTGGATTTTATAAAGACTGTTATGACTGTTTACTGATTTCTTTCGGTAGATGCCTCTGGAAGTGAGCGGAGTGCGTTGCCTTGCCTTAGAGACTGCGGAAACTCACAAACTCTACATCGGCACAGTGGACAACAACATCTGGTGTACATCACTCAATTCAAGCTTAGAATCGCCTCTCGTAGGTGCTGGTGGCAGACTTGTCAAAATTATGGAGGTTGGTGATTAAAGTATCGTAATGGTGTAAATCGCACTACAAAGGTATGTGCTATCAGCGGGCTCAATCGACTACATGCTTATATTCACTTGAGATTGTTAACGTTGGAGCTGGAGTATGTTTGATCGGTTCAGCTGGTTAGGTTGTGAAATTGCACCAAGTTAAAATCATCATTATTTTCACTATCGTCATCGTTATCGCTATTGTTGTCGTCATCGTCATCGTCATCATCATCGTCTTCATCGTTATCGTCGCCATCTTTACTGTTGTCGTCATCATCATCGTTACTGTAGTCGTCATCGTTATCGTTAGTATCATCGATATCGTTATGGTCTCTTGTAACGTTGTCGTCTTCATTGTTATTGTTTTTCATTTCGTTGTTGCTATCGTTTCATTTAAGTAATAAAATTGTCGTTATCGTCATCATCGTCGTGATAGTCATCGTTACCTCTATCGTTATTGTGGTTTTCATCGTTATTGTTCTTATAATCATTATTGTTCTCATAATCATCAATATTATTATTAATGCTATCAATCTGTTTTATAGGGGCATTGTCAAGATTTAAGAGGACTAGCTACTCATCCCAGCTCTCCATTGTTTGTCACGGCCGGAAGTGATAAGATATTACGATTGTGGAATGCCGCTGAACGTCGGGTCATGTGGTCAAACAACAAATTGGTGAGTGCATGAGAACGTCTATCGCTGTATTTTAATCCATATTTTTAAAAATCAAGAAAATTATTATTTTTAAGGTAAAGAGCTAAAAGTTATTCACTTTTGTATATGTGAAACCCAAATAATTCCTTATCTGAACTGAGTCGCATTTAGAAGCACTTAAAAGGAATATGGTAATTATAAGAACGGACATGAAGCCCACAGGCAAGTTATTTTATGATAGCTTCCTACAGTATGCTCGCTTATAATGAAGTTTTCAAACTTTTTTCCCCAGACTTCAGAGATGCGAGCGGCAGCTTTTCATCCTGACGGCAGCTCCATTGCTGTTGGCTTCAAGGCAGGAGGGTGAGTAAGCACAAGACATAGTTAGTATGGAAAATGGTATGTGAAAGCCCAAAACAAAGAGCAAAAACAAAGGTAAAAAAACAACGGTATTGTGGTTTATGTTGGAAGTTACGTGGTCGTGCGTATCTTTGCAAGTTGTTTTGTTCACATATTGTTAATGAATTTTTACTGGGTTTTTGCTATTGGCCAGTTAGTTCGTCATGATTGGACGGCTATTTTGAAACCTTTTGGTTAGGTCCAAAAAAAGCTAGCAACAATCTGTAACTCAAGGATCCATTTGAGTATGTCAACCGAATTCCCTTAGATTACTGAACCTGAGGGTTATCAATTTCATCAAAATGTCATCCTAATGGTGCAACTTTTTGTGTCACTTTTCAGGTGGATGTTGATAAACTCGTCAACCGGAGATACCATTTTTATTCGCAAATCTGAACCTCCTGAGAAAATATCAGAAATTCAATTTTCTCCAGGTAAAGTGCGAGCAAGCAACTTTGGGTCCACTACACAAAATGATAATTTTCACCCTTTTTTGGTCGAGACTAGCACCTAAATTTGTTTGTGTTTTATCACTAGATGGAAGTCATGTAGCTCTTGGTTGTCATGACAATGACGTCTACATCTATGAACTGCGAACTGAGGGAAGGTCTGTGTCTCTCAAGGCTCGTTGTAAGGTAAAGACTTGAGGATTTGTTTGTCTTTTGTTTGTAGTTTTGCGTGACTTTCTGGTGCTTACCCACAGCCCAACCGTTAAAATTACGGACCCGAGGGACGGCAGCTCGCAAGTTTTTAGTGCATCTATAAGTATTTGTTGTTAAGCACTCTTCATTAACAGAATGAAACATGATTATATGAACCGGTTATATATTTTATCGGTGATAGGAAATATGAACTTTCAACTGCGTGAAATTAAGAATCAAAATCGACCACTCCGTGTTTTTCTGGTTAAAGTGATCAGAGTTTTTGTTTCCCTTTCATTCACAAGTTAATGTTGTCATTGTCGCAGGGTCACACAAGCTCAGTTAGTCACTTGGACTGGTCCACAGATGGAGAAAAACTTCAAAGTACCTCAAGGGACTATGAATTGCTTTTTTGTAAGGATTGCTGTTGATTCACAATTTATTACTTTAAAAGAGTGAAACTAACTTTTGAATGATTTAATTAAATTCATTTTGAATTATTATTATTACCATACACATCACCACGGTGACCTCCGTTACCTTTGCAGCCACTATTGTTGTTACTGCTACTGTTACCCATTCCATTACTGTTACTTTTACTGTTATCGTTACTGTTATCGATACCATGATCGTCAACGTTATTAATACCATTATCGTTAACGATACCGAGTTAGTTATTGATATCGTTACCGTTATCGATACCGTAATCGTTACTGTTATTAATGCCGTTATCGTTATCGATACCGTTATCGTTGTCGTTGTCGTTGCCGTTATTGGTAGTTATTAATATCGTTACCGTTATCGATATTGTTACCTTATCCTCTGCCATTACGTTCCTATCACCATTACCATCGCTACCGTCATTGCAAATGAAACTATCGTCATCAATGTTGGCCATTTTTTCCAACCAGAAGTGAAATTTGTTTGCTAACATGATTACTCCATAGTATGTCAAAGTGATAGTCAGCTAAACAATTTTTTTCGCTGTCAGGGGAGCCTCTTCAAGGAGAGCAAATAACCCAGACGGAGAGCATGCGCAACACAGAGTGGGCCTCGCACAACTGTGTCCTGGGTTACACTGTTATTGGTAAGTAGCATGTTCGCAATGTGGTTTTCGCGTGCAATGAGTTTAGCAGTAAACGTCGTCGGCAGAACTTCTTAGGATACCCTCATTATTAACTGGCGTTTGCTGCTGTAAACGATATGAAACCCTCCTATTTCTCGTTGGAAAGTGGTAGATTACTTGCTTGATTTAGAAAATCGCATAACTCTCGGGTATTATATATACAGATAAAACTGGTGGCGTTCCCTTTAAGTCACCGTCGATATCTGACAAAACAATCGCACTGGGCGACACAAAAACAAGAAACACCGTGTCTAGCTTTAATGATCACTGTGTCTATTGACCCGTACAGGAATTTGGCCGGACGGGGCAGACGGAACTGATGTGAACTCTGTGGATCGCTCTAGTGGAAAGCATTTGATAGCTACGGGGGATGACTTTGGCAATGTTAATCTGTACAGATATCCTTGTGTCAGTAAGAAGGTAAGAGCTCGATTAAGTTCATTTTTTCGGCACCCTTCTCATCACTTTTCGCTTGCTAAAGGGGGAAAGAAGATTGCTTGTATTCTATTTTTAAATCTGTTGATTTTCCGTTTCGTTGTAATTGCTTGTTTTCTTATGTATAGGCTGAGCCAAGAATTGTTCAAGGTCACAGTGCGCATGTCATGAATGTACGATTCCTTCACGATGACACCCGACTAATCTCCGTTGGTGGTCGGGATGCGAGTACACTGCAGTGGAGGGTTGTGAAGTCTTCTTGATCGTTTCAGAGGCTACGCAATGGACAGGAAAGCATTTATTGGAGGTTCTTGTAAAATGCATCGGAATGAGCGAAAGAACATTTAGGCCGGAAGCAAGCGTATTTATTCTTAAGCAATTTTGATAACGTAAGTTGTTTATGATTGAGCAAAAGGTTTCATCAGTTTGCTGTCAAACCAGAACAGAACGAAGTACACATAAAACAGCAACTGTCGCTGGTTTTCAATTAAGTTTACCGGGGGTATTTTATTTATCTCATTAGTCTCATGTCGGTCTTTCAAAGCGAGAGATTAGAACGAGCTAGATCGGCGCCATTCGAAGGGGTCAGCTTAATGGCGGTCTTGGCGCGCCTCCTGCTTATGACGACTGGAAACGAGTAAGGTCTTGTAGCAGTTTACTAGTAGTAAATCGCCGAGACTTTATCTCTTGCACTGCCACATCGGCATATTTTGGGTATTTCTTCCCGATGTTTTGGAGGGGAGAGAGATATTTCTAATGAGGCAGAGGACAGCAGGCAAGAGTAAGAGGAGGACAGCTAGTGTCTTGCCTTGCTCCCTCCATCACTATACACCCAAACCAAACATGACTCCTATCACGAGCTTCTTACGTGGCAATACACTCGCTCTGCATAATAAGACACCTGAAATTCAGCGATCTCAATCCGAGTAGTCAGATCGGCCTTTACGAGCTCGTAGCAGACTGAAACTAATCTCATCTTATCCCGCGGTATTTATCTTCCGTAGAAGTCTTATAAATGTTTACGTATAGTATCATTCGTAATCCACGAGATAAATCGTTCGTCAGACTATAAGTTTTACATATATACTTCAGTACTTCTTGTATCCAAGGGAAGGTTTAATAAAACCTATGAAATCAAGGTGAATCACGCATTCATCATAAACAAATCAAAATGTATTTTAAGGTAGAAAACTTGGCTTTTTTTAAGAAAAGGCTTTTCAGTCCCAGGCGAGGTAGTTATGTGGAGAGGAAAAATTACGGAGGATTTGAACGGGTCGCGCTCTATTTACCATCGCACGCTTGGAAAAGGCTCATCTAAGTGATTCTCTGGGTATTTTGGGATAGTGCTAGAGCACATCTCGATCAAATGTCACCAAACCCAACGAATCTCAAAGGCCAAGAGCATACTCCAAGGCGTTGATATAATGAGAACTCTTGTTGAACCCCTAAGGGAACTTCAGTTAATCCTTCCCCACTTCCGATTGATCTCACGATATAACTTGAAATCGCTATCAATTGACCCTTTAACTCCCAAGATCTGATTGTCGATTTTCCCTTCTAGCTACAAAACATTTCCTTGTGACTTGATTACGAGAATTAGGTGTTCAATTACGGTAATAAATTGTACTTGATGAGTTTGAGTGTTCTCATTATCTGTTTGCTGTATAACGTATGGACATTACACGGAGAAGTTGCATGGTAATCACTTCTGGGATTTTAAGGCTGAAAGGTCTTCGCCAGATGATGGGAGCGAATGCGTAAGCGTCGCGAAATGTAGCATGCAGGTTGACTGCTATTCGTGCGTTTTGACGCGCTGTAATTGCTTCATTCCGGCCAACTTTTGTTGTTCTCGTGAGTCTGCTTTGATGTTTACCCTTCTTTTTCGGATGTTGGCGAGAAAACCAGGAGAACGACAAACGATACAATTGTCGATACGATCTACAAAGCGAAAGAAACCACAAATACTCGATTACCTTTTTTCCTCCAATTTATTTCCAGATGAGCACTTTTTTCAAATTCTTAAATACAGAGTGGCCATCTCGGTGTGAAACAGCAAGACTAGCTTGCTTTCGCTAAACCTCGATACTTGAAAATTATTTTCCTTAATATTCGGGTTCCAATAGTCACCTTTAACATAATTAAAAATAGAGTTAGCTACTCACTATAAAAATTGTAGCTCTCCTGATATTCTTCTTAAATAGTCAGGCTCAATTCATAAATTATCTAAATATAATGTTATTGAAAAACTAAGACTCTTCTTCGACCGATTCGCTCGAAAAAAGGATAGAAACACAAACGCCAATGATATCTGTTGTGTTCCGGCGTTCCCCGTGTTCGATGATTCCAATATTGTAGATCTCATATTTTCGCTAGATGTCTTATGTCCCTAGATCCAGCTGTTTTCTTAATGTAGCATGCTCCTTATCATGTAGTTCAGGATTCCTCCGTGTTTGAAGTACATCAGTTCCACGTCCGTGTCGAAACGGACCTTAACATTGAAAGACCGGCCATCACTCAGCTGCAATGAATAAGACGTCATAGGTAAACCACTCGGTCAGTCAATCAATCAATCATTCAAACAGACGGTCATATAGACAGTCTGTTGGAAGTTTTTACCTTTGTCTTCCCTAGAAAAAAATAGGCCAAAGGAGCCCGCATTCTTCTGATTCAATTTTAAGACAAGCTAAAGCAACAGTCTACCTTTACTTCCAGTGTTTGGCCAGTCTTCAGGTCTTCCGGTACCACAATAGTGTAACTCTCCTTTCCAGTGAGTTCCAGACTCTCTACGTTTTGACCGGGAAGATACTCCAGGGGCATAATACCCATTCCCACTAAATTGCTTCGATGAATTCGTTCAAAACTCTCTGATATCACCGCTCTAACACCCTGAACAGAACAGAGATAAACGAACAGTTAGTTAAACTAAGTATTTAGCCTACAATACATAAATCTAAAAAAAGAGCTTGCAGGTCCATAAAACCTGGGTTCAGTTTTGCCCTATGTACCTGCATCCAGGGTCCCTTGGCCGCCCAGTCACGTGAAGATCCCGACCCATAGTCCTTGCCGGCCAGAATGATGAGTTGCCGTCCTTCTTGGTGGTATCGTTCAGCAGCATCAAAAACATCCATCTGCAGAGTAAGAGCGATAGTAAATAAATAAAACCAACAACTCGATAATATCACAGCATAAATACACACAGTGAAAGATCAAGTACACGGTGCTAACATAATCTCCTTTCAATTCCTCGGCGCAAGGCATAATTTTTATCATCGCTAACGCTTTGATATACGGCGAAATGAAACGAATCCTGCCTTTTTTCTTGGCTAACAAAGCGGTTTTCTAGCCTGCACGTGATTTCACCTTGTGTCCCGCTTTGAAAATGAACAGCCTCGTTCCCTCATTCTGTTAGGAGAGAGAAATACTAGCCCCCTCCTGAATTACTTCAGACACTCGGTTGGAAAATCGCTTTCAAAATGCCCGAGATTTTGCAAAAGGGACGTTGGGAAATCCTCGATTAACAACTTGTATAAAAACATGATCACTCAATCATGCAAGCAGCTAAAGGCAGACGACAAAATTTCAAGCTTTTTTCCTTAGCCGTGAAAGCCATAATGCTAATGTTTACCATACCGTGTCCCCCGAAGGATTGTGGATAGTTTTAGGTGCAGCTTTACCAATGAACTTATTGACCAGTCTGATATTGGCAAATGTTCCACGCGCCATTACAGCATCGTTTCCACGCCGAGAACCATACGAGTTGAACTCCCGAGGTGCAAGCCTGAAAACAGATGAAAGCCGAAGAATATATTTAAAATGAGTTAGCCAGGCTACAGTACTGCAGCAAAAGCTTCAAATATGGCCGAGAGGGAGAGTCTTTTACAAGGAAGATCACCTTCACATACATTTAAATTATTTGACCAGTCGTGGATTGCTGCTCGACGTTACATAATCACTTGAAATGAGCTGGCCAGGTTTGTAAATAACCTTCAAATAGAGCAGAGGAGGAGCCTTTCATGAGAAGGATCACTGTCACATCATTTAAATTTCTTGACCAGAGAAAGGAGAGTTTAATTCGCCGATGAAAAAAACAAAAAAAAACAAAACAAAACAAAAAGAGAGATTCGAAAAGAAGACAGAGTTCTTATCAAACTTACCCCTTGCTACCTAGATACCGAGCAGCAGGACTGGTGCGAGAGATGCTGCCCGCAGGTGAGATGTGGTCAGTGGTTACTGAGTCGCCCAAGTTCAACAACACAGCAGCATCTGAAATGCTGACACGCTCTGGCAACTCCTTGGCCTGGAAGTAAAACACAAACACACACTGACTCATTCTGGGGCCAATGATGGGAACTTTTCTGATCAAGTTCTACTTCCAACCAATAATTAGCATTAGTCTTTCGTGAGAGCCATTTACTTTGACGAAGGGCTGACGTTCGAAACATCAGCTCTAGAAACTCTTTACAGTGGCCAATTGACATTATCAACTCAGTTGATAAAACCAAATTATCTTGTACTACCCCACCAGTTTCAGCACAACAGTTTCTTTAGAAACTTACCCTCTTTATTTCAGTATAATTTTTCAAGTGATCAAAGAGATTCGCGCTCTCCGATTGGTCAAGGATTGCATTATATCTCGCTATAATCACATCGCATGAGGTGATTATTGCAGGGCGCTAAATTTCAAAATGGCTGCCTTGCATTTTGTCAATGGTACCGAGGAAGAGAGAAACGTGTGTGTGTTCGGCTTTTGAAATGTAAGGTTTTTCAAATACTCACCATTGTTTCAAAGAAAGGTGGATGTTTGATATAGGTTGATTTCACATCCCATGGATACAGCAAACTATCGGGTGCTTCCAGAGAGTTCCAACGAGGGTTACCGCTCTGAAACAGTATTTGAAAATTAATTTTGATCAAAGGAAAGAAAGTTCACTGCGGGTCACAATTCTTGCTTTTCAGATGCATTAAACGCCAAAGCGTAATCCTAGCCTTTATCCTAAAAAGAAAAATCTATTTTTATTTTGATCAAAGGAAAGAAAGTTCACTGCGGGTCACAATTCTTGTTTTTCAGATGCATTAAACGCCAAAGCGTAATCCTAGCCTTTATACTAAAAAGAAAAATATATTTTTTATACAAATTGGTTCTTGCTTTTAATGTGTCCGAACTAAGAAATTGGGCGGAGTAATACAGCAGTTACACAATTGAAGCAAGTTTTTGTGCCCTACTTACCGACACCTTGGAATAGACTTCTTTGAACATAGCCGGTATAACATACTGTCTTTCAACCTCCTGTGAAAACGAGACAGATCCATCAAATTCACGTAGCTTAGTACCTAACTTTATGTCAGAAGAAGGCAAAGATCTCAATAAAGTAAAGCTACTCTTAAGAGTAGCCCAGCGTATGAAGCTTGAATCTTACTGGAATATCATAAAGCTTTATAATCATTTTTGCAAAGGGGATACAATGAATTCACAGAGCCAGTTCAAACTATGATTAGTACAGAGACATGACAGGGGAATTAATAACATTAAGTATTAACCGGGAAATAATAGTTCTTTCTATCTCCCAAAACGATTTCTTTACAGTACGTTGCATGTGGTTCCAAATGATTGACTGAACGAATCTAAAAATTGTCACAAAAAGAGATGCAAGCACTTAGTGATGAAAATATTGAGTTTTAAACGCAAAGCGCAAACCTGAAGTTCATCTCTTGTTGGCCAGATGTCTCTGAGAAATACTTCTTTTCCATCTTTCGAAATGCCTACCAAATAAAACACAGAAGCATTAACTACTTTAAGTAGAAGCTCTCAAGTACTCTGCAAATCATCGGATAGAACTTGTGTACCTGAGAAAAGATCTAAAAGAAAATTCTGTAAGATTGTCTTACCTAGGGGTTCTGTCTCAAAGTCTATAAGAACTGTTCCAGCAATGGCATAAGCGATTACTAAGGGAGGGGAGGCAAGGTAGTTTGCTCTCGTTAAAGGATGAATGCGGCCTTCAAAGTTTCTGTTTCCTGACAGCACTCCAACAGCTACAAGGTCACCCTGAAAGCAACATGCCATTTTTTTTTCATTAAGCTTAAATGATACATGTAGTTACAAAATTTAATGTCTTTAAGTGGTTAACAAAAGGAGCGAACATGAAACCTATCTGTTCAAAGATGAATGAATAAAGGGGATAGTTTTAATAGAAACTGTGGTGTTGCGTCGCTAGGCGAGCATAACAGGGTAATTTAGTATTATCAACGAGTTGATAACGTAAACTGGCCACCGTAAAGAGTTTCAAAGCTGACGTTTCGAGCGTTAGCCCTTCTTCAGAGCGATTGGCGAAAGGCTAACGCTCGAAACGTCAGCTTTTGAACTCTTTCCGGTGGCCAATTTACGTTATCAACTCATTGACAATACTAAATTACACTGTTCACAGATGAAGACTGGATTGAGCAATAGAATAAAGGGAAAACTCAAACTTTTTAAGCAACGATAAGAGGACGAATGAAAAATTCAATTGATTTAGTAGAGACAAAGAAAAACTATGCTACAGAAAATGAACGCACTGCATTATGATTAACATACACAAACAAAAATAGTATAATATGAGCTCGAGAAGACCATGTGAAAGATAGATCCTAAATTAATCCTGAATAAAGTCTTTGACACACATAACAGGGTTGTACTGAATATGAGAGAAAAGAGCTGACCATGAAATGAAAATATAGCACCGGTCTCTGTTATGTTCACCTTTTCCAAGAAAGAAAACGTTTTCTTAATTTGGCTACAATAAAAAACTGAAGTAGAAAAAAAGAGACAATAGAAAGATGGAAAACTATACTCAATTAATTGAAAACCCTACCCGATAGACTACCATTCCTCAGACATGAACTCTGACAAACAACCTTTCAAACAGAGTACTTGCACATGACGTTTTGACAGAGAGACGTCATCTTAAATTCTTCATATACTTAACTCAACAAGATGTCATCGATAAGGACACAAACCTTTTCTATGGCCTCAGAAACAGGTTCAGACAGTGGACCAGAGTTGCCTATACAGGTCATACAGCCATAACCCACAATATTAAACCTGTAACACAGAAAAAATTACAGCGGCGTCAAGTTAAATTTTGGGCACTAACTGTCGGTGAAAAAAAAAAGAAACCCTTCTGTTAATAACCCCTTACCCTCTAAGAGTGATTAGCATCTACTTTCTCCTTACAATATCATCCCTGAATCAAACATTAAGGTCATGAGAACAGTGAAATGATCAACAACAAAAGAAGCTCTTGGACGTTAGACAAATTCTCCTTGTCATTATCATTGGAAATGTACTGAGAACAGTGTGGAGAATATACATACTGAAGTTAGGGTGTTAATAGTCTGGTTGATTCTATGTCAAAAAGAATGGTTCCTAAGGCATACTTCTATTTTGAACAACATGTAGGTGGAAAGTCTTTGATTACACACCCTAATTCTTCCAGACTTGGTATGACACCACTTTCCTGGAGATAGTAGGTAACCACACCAGAGCCAGGGGACAAGCTTGTCTTGATGTATGGCTTGACACTAAGTCCCAGTTCAACAGCTTTCTTTGCTAACAGTCCTGCCCCAAGCATGACTGATGGATTGCTTGTGTTTGTACAACTAGTGATGGCAGCTATCACCACAGAACCTGGATAAAGTGCAGTGGAAGAACAATCACATTCACTTGCAGACGTTGTTCATCTGAAGGAGCCACTTTCTCGAGCCTTCAGTAAGTAATTTAACAATCAAAGGCAGAAAAATATTGAAAGCATATGATTATAAAAATTTTGTAAGAAATACCATGTCTTAACCCTTTAACTCCCAAGATCTCATTAATAACTCTCCTTACTGTCTACCATATAGTTGTTGTGATGCTCATTTGGAGAATTTGGTGTTGGATCAACTAATAATCCCCTAATTAATATTTTTCTTTGTTCTCATTACTTGTCAGCTTGATATTGTACTGATATTGTAAGGAGAAATTCTGTCTTTGTCACTCATGGGAGTTAAAGCATTAAGAACATAATTTTCGAAGAATTCATTGTGTAAAACCATGTGCAGTGCTTTATGCAATGCCCAAGTTGATGTGCAGCTACCTGCTTTTAAACAAATTCACCCGTGTCTAAATCAATCTTTGATTCAATGCAACTGAAATGGTTTTGCATTAAAGACCTCTTTTGACAACAGTTGAAATACAACCTTCACTGTAACTGATAGTAACAATGACAATAACAACAACGGCAGTGACAACAAAATCTTTGACAATATTAAGCCCAATAATATTACTATAATAATAATAATATAGTAATAATAATAATAATAATAATAATAATAATAATAATAATAAAGTACACATAAATATCAAACAATTTTAAAGAAAGATAAGAGTTCTTACCATGAGCCAACTTGAACTCTTGACCATCAAAAATAAAAGGGACTTCCGTGCTTTGCTTTTCAGGGGGGATTCCAAACCCTTTAAATCCAACCTTATTGTTTAAACAGTCTGTAAAATCCTGCTTCATTACAGAAACAGACACCCTATCATGTGGTCTCTTGGGACCTGATACTGATGGAGCCACAGTAGACAAGTCCAACTCCACAATCTGTAACAGCAACACAAATGCAATATAAATCATGAGTGTGCAGACTTCTGACTAGGGGTAGTCCATAAAAAGACTTTTTTCAGCAATGGTGACTGACTTTCAATAACCTGGGTGGATGTAACCATGACACATTGTTTGCCAGTTGCAGTCTGGTTTCATGAGAGCTCCTCGATCAGTTTTGTTGTGATCAGAGTTAAATCAATAAGTATTGATGAAATATTGGTTGAAATCAGCAAAAACACAATTTAAAGGCCTCATTGAAGGGGTTACATGTAAATGTTCCCATATGAGCCACACCTCTTATCCTATTCTGTTCTTTTAGCCTGTTAAAAGAAAATCTAGCAGAGTAGTCCAAATTATTTTCTAGCTCTAGCTGTAGAGAGGATCACTGGGTTGTGTTCTTGAGCAAGATTTGTTACTATCATCTTAACATCCTCCTCTCATACTAACCCTTAAACTCTCAGAAGTGATTAACATTTACCTTCTCCCTATAATATACAGAAATGTACATTATCCAACAAACAGGTAATGAAAATACCCAAACCTATCAGGGAGAAGTTGTTATCTGGATATTACACCACATTCTTGCAACTAATTTACAAGGAATTGTGCACCAACCAACGTAGAGAATTAACAATCCAATCTTGGGGGGTTTAAGGGTCAATACCAGTATATTGCAAATTCTAGGTAACATCAGCTCAATCTACCTCACCTCAGAGAACACTGGATCACTGCTTGGATCAGAGTAGTCCCTGAACATTTTTGTAGCCCTTGCATAAGCTTCAACACATTCAAGTGCCTCTTCACTACGACCTAGAGTCAACAGAAACTTCATGCTGTCAGCAAGTTAGCATTGTGAATGGGCAAAAATCAGTCTCCACCAACATGAAACTCTGGTGAGAGTCAGTGAACTAGATAATAAAAGAAAAGAGGAAGACTGAAACTGGAGGAGATGACATTAAAAGGCTACAGAGCCACAAAGAAAACATAATCAGACTCTGTTGAGAGCTAAAGACAACTAAAACTTGTCATACTTTTTTTGGCCAATTCAGCTTATTTTGGTCTCCTATTTTCTCTAGAACTGATAGCTGGTGAGAACAAATGTAAGAAGATTCATAATCTGTTTCAGAGTCTCAGTAATCTGTGTAAGAGTTGACAAAGTTAAGATAAACTGTCACTTGTCTACACTGTAATATGCACCAAACTTGACAGTCCATATTTGGATAAGATATCAATATCATTACAAAATTTTTTCCAAACATTTTACCTGTCTGTCTGAGATACAACAAGCTCTTCTCATCCACAGGGAAAAAACCAACAGTTGCACCATACTCTGGGCACATGTTGGCAATGGTGGCACGATCTGCTATAGACAGATGACTCACTCCTGGTCCAAAAAACTCCACAAATTTCCCAACAACACCAATTTGGCGAAGATGCTGCAAGACATGAAACACTCCTCTGTCATGAAGAGAGCAAAGGCCTTCAACAAAGCAATAAGGGGTGTTGTGACATTCTCGTTTTTGTCATTGTTCAGTTGTTATTTCATAAACCTGTTTACATGAATGTATGTACAATAGACCACAATTGGTTAGCTCATGTTGTAGGTAGCCGAACTGGCATACGAAGGACAAAGGCTCAAGCCCCAGACCAGACATACACTCAGGGTCCTACAATAACTGAGGGGAATGTGCTGCCTTTGCTATGACATCATCAGCAAATGGTTAGACATTCTAGTCTTCTCAGATAATGATTATAAACCCTTGGCCCCATCTCCTGCATCTTCTCTGTGCTGGTTAATGGGGGACATTAAAGAACCCACACACTTCTCACAAAGAGAGGGGAACTTAGCTCCTGGTGATATAGGAGGCCAAGGCAATCAGGAATTTAAAAAGACGCAGGTTCAGCTCTGTTATCATCATTGCTTACCTAAAATTGTACCAAAAAAGTTTTTTTTTTTTCACTGAAAACCGAGCCCTCATTTTGATTTAGCCATTTCATGCTAACCAAACCAGAATAAACTCTTAACTTTATATTAGGAAAGTATTCTTGATAGATGTTTACTAAGTATCTAACGTTTACCTTTGTGATTGTGAGAACAACATCAGTAGAAGTGATGAATTGCTTTACTTTTCCAGTTAGCTTATATCCCACAACTTTTGGCAGTACCATACTAATGGCCTGACCCAGCATGACTGCTTCAGCTTCAATACCTCCAACACCTGACATGAATTATTCCAAATGAGAAAATTGTAAATTAAAGTATTCTTACTTGAGCAGCACTTCCTACCTAGAGCTCACTGTTAAATATTATTTAATTTCTTACATGATTATTTACAGAAAATAGAGTTACTAACAGCCTTCAAGTGTCTACATAAATCTTGTAGGTATGACTTACTTAAAGGGTACATGTAGCAAAATTGTAAAAAGCTTCACTTCTGCAGTTAATTTTTTTTTCAGCTAACCCAAGATCCCTTAACCCTTTGACACCCAAGAGTGACTAGCATACTATTTCTCCTTACAATAACACTCTCAAATCACTCATAAAGGTCTTGAGAATAAAGGAAACTGTCACCAAAAGAAACTCAGGATTGTTGAACAAATTCTTCTTGTTAGCACCCAAGGAAATTTATAGAGAACAGTATGGAGAATATGCATACTGACATTAGGGTGTAAAGGGTTTAAGAACAAACAAAAACTCAGGGTTTGAGGTAACAATTTGAAAGTACTTAATACAACTTTTTCCCTTCTTTCTCTTTCTAACTTTGTAAGAAAAAAACTGAAACACAAGGCACACTCAAGGAAAAACGTCTCACCCCATCCCACAATTCCAAGTCCATTGATCATTGTTGTATGTGAATCAGTTCCAACAACACTGTCAGGATATAAAAATTTTTCCATGTTGAAGACAACACGGGCAAGATATTCCAAGTTGACCTGAAACAGAAACCAGAGCAGTTGTATGATTTAAAAGTAATCAATTCACAAGAGTAAAAAATTCCCATAGCTTACAAATTGAGAGCATGAGTAGTCAAGTTTTTGATCAAAGGTGAGTGTACTCTAGTTAGAATTTAGCTGAATTGCCACAGACTTGAATGCTTACTGGCTTCTATAGTGTATATACGGTTAATTTATACTGGTTAATGTTACAAAATCACTGCAGCAATTATCAGTTGCTTGTTATAAGTTCAATTAACTGCACAACACTGATTTCAATTAAGAAGCATGCTTTGATAAGACATACCTGGTGAACTATGCCTGAACCAGGTGGAACAATTGTCATGTTCTTGAAAGCTTTTGATCCCCACTGAAAATAAAACAAAGAAAGTAATGAAGAAAGGAAATATCCACAAAGCTATCACGACACTTTGTGGCCAAATGGTACACTTATTATGGACAGTGTATAGGCTCTAATGCCCAAAGTAACAGAGTGCCACACTGAAAATCTTTCCTTGGAGTAATCCATGAAAAGTAGTGTACTATACATAAAGCAAAAAATTTAGTGGAATATTACCTAAAATTTTGATTACCTTCAGAAAAAGAAACCTTTCTTTGTTCCTGTTAAATTCCATTTCTTGATTCTTCTGCAGGGCTGTAGAGCTAGAGAAAGAAAAAGTACAAACATTTCACAATATTAAGTATCACCTATAATAGCTGTAAAAGTACACCTAAATGATCCAGGGGAGAAAAACTATAGCTTTTTTCTATATTTCTGGATTCCCAGTTAACATGCATGTTGTGCAAATTTTTTTTCACTTTGGAATTTATGGCCACTTATCAAATCTTTCAACATCTGAATTTGATCTAGAATTATAAAAATCATTTCCACCCATCTGACTTAACAAAGTTCACAGAGTCTCAAGTCCAAAGAACACGGCCACCTTCAGTCTTAATGATGTGTATGCAGGTAAAAAAAAAATTCTCAAAGGTGATCCTTAATTCCATTGCCTCCTTAGCCTATTTATTTCAAATTAGGGCTAGAGGACAAGGAAATTAAGAACAGACTTACACTACAATAGGAAGTGAAATTTACCTGCAATCAACATTAAATTCAGCTGTAACAGAAACATTTGTTGGAGAAAGGTAAACCTTCTAACAACACTCAAACATTCAAATGTTACTCAGTTTGTTTTGCACAAAGAAAAAAAAAAGAGAGAGAGTGGCCTCGCACCAGTCAGTGGGCATCAAATGAAATGGACATGGATCGTCCTTCTTAAGCCAGTTGCCCCCTGGATCAAACAAACGACTCTGACTGAAAGAACAACATCAGAGATTCTGATTTGTTGCATAAAGAAACTTGAAATCAAGTTTTGAAGACTTCATTTGACCCTCTGTTGTTATGGGTAAAGGACAACTAGCTCTTTAATCCTTTACACTCTAAAATCATATGCATATTCTTCATACTTTTGTATATGTTTCCAGCGGTGTCGACAAGGAGAATTTGCCGGAAATAAAGAGCTCCTGTACTTGTCAATCATGTCAATTATACTTTGACCTTAATGTATGATTTAGGGATGATATTGTGAGGAGAAATTAGATGCTAGTTACTCCTAGTGGTTAAAGGGTTAAGGGGTCACACATACACAAAAAAAAAAACAGCATAACATGTGATCCAGTTTTCAGTTTTTTTTAGGTCTAAGTACAGACATATGCAAGCAGAGAATAATAAAAACAATAAAACATATTAATTACTCTTTGAAAGAAAAGCTGTTACAGTCCTATGTTAAATTACGCACAAGATGACTCAGCATACTCCAGAAACAATGTGATCAACACTATTTCTATTGTTATATTAATATCAGGTTTGCCCACCAGACTGAAACTCTCTACTGTGATTTGATTGCTTTCTTTGTTTCATACTCTCACAAAGTTATTAAAAAAACAGTTACCCATTTCTTGCAGATCATTTTGAATATTAAGGGGCAAACTTTCTGCTGAGAAGATTTCTTTAATTGGTTTCTCTCCAAACCCTTATCATCATAATCAAAGCTAGATGGCAATCAAGAGTAAACTCCTGATTTTTTTCACCCCTGAGATTAAGAACTAACCACAACATAATTACACTTTTTTTTAATTCTGATTTTTTAAAATGCAATGGGTTGTTGCTTTTCCTAAGATGTTCCTGTATTTTTTTCTAATTGTTCACTTAAAGCCAGGCACATGAAAAATACAGCTTGTTAAGATCTAGTTTTAATATTAACAAAACACTTAATTGTTTACAAAAATTATTGTAGTCATACCTTCTTGAAACATCAACTTGTACAGAATGGTCAATCACCAGGTCAACGGGACAAAGTGGATTAATTTTGGCTGGGTCTCCTCCAAGTCTTTTAATAGCATCTCGCATAGCAGCAAAATCAACCACTGAAGGAACCCCTCTAAAACACAAACATCAAAAAGTAAATAACAAGTGGTATCTTTAACTGTAGGAGAGGGGGGAGGGGAAGGTGCCACTATTAGCAGGAAAGTAGTTTAAGAGTATTATTAAACTTGTAGAGCAAGGGGGGAAGGGCATTTATTTGAAGCAAGGTAAAAATCTGAACAAAGGGCTCTCAGTAAGAAATGTACAGAAGAAGGGACTATTGTGAAGTAAAAGTAAAATCTATCAAATAAAGTGTAACAGCCCTACAGTTGAGCATAAAATAGCTCAGGTAACCTAAAAGTAAGTCTCTCACACTTTATTCACTAACTTTAGTACTCAGAGCAGGTCGGTCAATCTCTTCAAAAGTATGTCTCCTTTGGAAAAGTTGAAAACTATTAACTTTTAACAATCTGCTTGAATTATAGAAAGAATGCCAACAGGTCAAGACAAGATAAGTTTTTCCAAAACCATACATGATTCCAAAAAGAAAAATTCCATGACTTACGTGAAGTCCTGCAGGATTACCCTTGCTGGCATAAATGGGATTTCAACACTTTGTTTCTGGTTATTCTCCCAGTCCAAAATGTTTTCTACATCCTTGGACTTCACTTGGAAGCCATCGCAGTTACGAACAGCAGATTCCAATAGTACCCTGATTGAATATGGTAGGCGAGCTATGGGATGGTATATCAAACAAATATTTTTTAAAAAATGTCAACTTGTTCTTCCACTACTCAAATTTCACGCAACCTTTGATTTCTGTTAAATCAAAATCCCACGTTAGAACTGAAATTTCTATCTTAAGCTGAATTATACACTCAGTTAACAAGGATTTTATTTATGATCTATTGGAGGGCAGACACATTGATGACATTAGTACCATCAACACATTACTTCTTTTATTATGTAAAACAAAAAGTGGTTCTGTTCAGTAGATCATGGTAGGTGTCAAAATGTGGTAAGAAAATCAGTGATGCACTTGGTTCCACCTCAAGTGTGTTTTTTTTTTTGTTCTAACCACATTTTGACGTCATATGTGACCTATTACTGAACAGACGCACGGAATTGTGAAACTTATTGGTTAATTGGTAAATCTAGCTACGTACAAAGTGTACTTCAATTACTTACGAGAGAAGAATAACGCATACAGAGAGTCACATATACTTTGACCCCGACTAGTCAATACTGGTACGATATTCGTGCAGTTATGGGTATTTAGACCCCGATATCGTATGATCATGCAACACAAAACTTCTAACAAAAGAGAGGGATCTTAGTTAATATTGGTATTTTCCGCATAGAGTGAGCCGAACAGAATACAAACAAATTGCGATCAAAATAATCATCAACCTACCTACCAAACTAGAAATTTGACAACAAATTGTTGAAGCAATAGAAATAATGCTATTCAAAAGATAGTCAGATGAGTGGTCATGAATCCTGAGGGTCATAGTTCAAACTCATTCAAAACTATTCTCTAAGCCATCTTCAAAATTCAAGGGTTCGCGAATCTTTTGGTATATTTCAGCCAAGACTACAAATCAAATTTTATACATATCACTTCTGTAACCTTGAATCATTTGTCTAAATTTCCCAAATTCGAGTATACAAACTTAACTTGAAATTTTAAATTTTTCAGCACTACGAGTTGTCAATAATAATTAGAATATTCCTCACCGTATCTTTCCTCGTTTAAACTAGCGACATCGAAGTATTGATAGTCGCCACATTTAAGTGAAAGGGGCTTGATTTGAGCAGCGTACTGGCTTTTCACTGAAGAAGAAAAATAAAGATAAAAATATGGAAAACTGCAAAACGTGCGGATCGACACGCTAACTCACCGGTCGCCATGATAGCGTCAGAGCGATTGCTAAATGATGAACATGTGACACTACAACGTGGCACGCAGGGCATTAACGAGGCGGCAGTCCCATGGCTGCCGTCAGACGTTACACAATTTTCGCTCGGAAGGCGTCAAGTGACTCGTTGATTATTTTTCCGATCGAAGTAGTCCTTTTTTTATGGCAAAAATACTTTTACTCAACATGCAAAAAATCACTTTCATCAAGCTTCATTCAAATAATTCGTAACATTATCAGTTTTCAAGATATCATTCTTGTCGCGCAATTTTAAAACGAAATTCACGTAGGTCACGCAACACGAATAATTGTGTCCGTTTCGTTGCGAGTTACACCATAACAATGTGAGGTATGTAACGATCCCTTCATTTAATTTTAAGCCAGACAGTTACCTGTGAGGTTTCACATAGATTTAAAAATTAACAAAAAAAATTTGCATTCAAATAATATTCATCCGTTGACAACACGTGCAGTGTTGAGAATTTTCCTCGAGGTAATGCGTCAATATGTTAACTTCCTTCCTTAGAAAGTTAGCTTTCAAAATAATCTCACTTTCCGTCACAAAAAAGCCAACTTTACCTCAAGTAATCTTCGGAAAGCAGTTGCTATAACTCTAAAATATGATATTTTGACTGACCTGGTGGAAGATAACAATTTTTTGGGACAGGAGAATGCCTGACATGTTGTTACGTGTGGAACAACTTCCACATTTATACCAAAATATTAAAATATGCTATTCGCTATCGATTTCTATGTTCAAACTGATTAGGGCTTCGCATGCATCATCTATCGATAGAAATGGAGAACGAATTATCTAATTGTGAAATAGAGAAGAAAACGTCTGTCTTAGTATCATTACATACTTGTCTCTTCCATTTAACCCTTTAACTCCCAAGATCTGATTTTAATTCTCCCCTCTAGCTGCTACTCGTTGCCTTGTTAATAAGTCATGAGAATTCGGTCTTAGATCAAGACTACTAACTTCTTCTTGATAACTTTTTGTATTCTCATGACATGTTGGCTGGATAATGTGTAGATGTTACATGCTAATCACTTGCGGGAGTTTTTAAGTAGACAAATATTAAATCTTGACCAACTCTCAAATAGCATTTATTTCAGGGAATTGCAGTCTACAAATTTAAGGGATAATATGGACCAAAACTTCTTTTGCAAATTGTATGTTTTATATGGCCTAAGATCTAAGCTGCCAAACCACAATGATACTTTGTTATTCATTTTTTTTGTCATTTTCACTAGACTTTATTGCCCTCTTGTAAGATCACAGGCATGCCAAACTCCTTTCAATTGAAAAGTCCCTATTTTTGCAACATGAAATGGAAAATAGGAAATGTGAATTAACTTCAGTCAGAACAAACAAAAGTTTCTATGCTAAAAACCACAAGAAAAACATTTAAGCAATGAAAAACGATGTTTAGATTTTCAGGGAAAATTATCATCATCATTGAGTTGTTTTCTTTACTTTGTCTTCTTGTAACTGGTTGTTGACAGCCATTATAAATCTTACTCCAAAATGGTGACTTTTTTCCTTATTCTCTTATTACTGTGATTCTTTGTCATCTTTGAAATTTGAAAGAATCTTCACCCTGAAATGAGGCAAGGAGGGCCAGTAACCAAGGAGACAAAATATTGACGTAGTTTCTTGTATCTGGAACAAGATGTCTGGTTGACTGCAAGAGGTCTTCTGCATAGTTTCCAGATATTAGCTGTTAATGGTAAAAATTATGTTCATAATTTAATATAAATGTAATATAATTTGTTACACATTAGCCTATTGAGCAGCTAGAGCTTGGTGAGAAAAGCAGTACTCTGTCTCTTGTGCCTGTGTACTCTTTTAAGCTAAATCACCATTACACCCTGTCAAGTCAAGCACCTGTTACACAGGGTACTTCACTATCTAAGAAACAATCAAAAGTTAATATTGATATGAAAAAAACACAGTTCCTATGTTGAGTTTGACAGACATAACTTTATAATGACTAAACTATTTTTGTCTTTGAAAAGGCGCAAGTTATATTGCCTCTTTTATCAACTTTTGTGTCTTTGATAATTTGACTCAAACTACATTTTCATCATATTCGTCAGGCTCTGCAGCATTTTTCTCGATGACTCTGTACTCTCCATCACCATGCTTCCTCATTCCCATCAGAGCTTCATCAGTTCCAGCTTCCTCTCTCTTTTCTTGGCTCTTTTTCCTCCAGCAGATGACAGCAACCACAACTCCAATGACAAGCAGGATTGCAAACATGATGCCAAGATATGCTCCCCATGGCCACTTTTCCTCTTTTGCTGTCACTGCAGCAACATCTGCTTCAGTTGTAGGTGATGGAACAGGCAGGTTGATGGGCTTGCAGCCATAGACCTCAACACGCATGTAAATGCGTTCGTTCCAATTTTGAGGCAGAAATCGGATAAACCGAGACTGCACAGATGGTGCAAAGTCGTTTCTCACAGCAGTTTCTGCATCATTATTACCATTGAAAACCTATCATAAACAAAATATTATTTAGTAATGGTTTGCACCTAGGAGCTGTAATGTTCTATGTACTCCACTGGGACCTATATAAGCAAAACGAAGTATGGGAGATGGATTCGACCATATAATCTTAAAAATATTGCTAATTGTCAGGAGTAACAAGATAATATTGTTTTAAAACTGGTGTAATTATGACTTGTATAACTAACATCCACTGTGGACAATGAGTTTGTGGCAGGTATATCAACTTGCAATAATTATTTATCCAATGAATATCAAAATCCATCCTTTTAAACATCTAGGACAAGTTATACTGTAGAGGTAACACTACCTGTATTCCAAATTTCCCAAACAGTTTACATTAATATAGGGTATTAACAGGAAACAATTATGCATTAGGGTGTGATTTGTCAAGGAAGGGAAAGGTTTTAAACTAAGTTAATGTTAGCTTTATCATCCATCAAAGGTGTGACAGTTTGGTTGCATTTATTGTGCTTCATTTTTCTTCTTTGGCTTAAAAGTTTCCAAACCAGTTTTCTCCTGTTTCAGACTATGGTATTTGAGGTCATCAGACAAGGGAATCAAAATTTGATTTAAACAGGTCTGTATATTTTTGCACTAAGGAAGAATTTGAACATAAATGCATCATTTTAGTGTATAGCATTATACCTTTGATTTGTTATTTTCAGTGTATTCATGCCACACAATTCCATCTTTGCTCATATTAAGCTTGTATTCTGTCACATAAAAATGTTCTTCAGAGGATACTCCTTGTGTGGCCACACCTGTTATGTTGACCTCACTCTCAAAGTCAATCTGCAAGTACTCCGTCTTCTTGAAATACTTAGCATGCCAGCCCCGCCCTCCTTCTGCATTCAGTCTGGCTTCCGATGGCTCATGATGTTTGAAGAATGTTGATGCTGTAATTTGCTTGTTCTTGATTTGACCATTTTCCATGCCTAGAGGTTGATGGCATGGTTGATGAAGAATATTCAATGACTGTGGAGAAACTGTCAAGTTTCCTACGTGACCTTTATCTACTGCCTCTTGAAGAACTTTTACAGGATTGTAATCAGCTTTGTCATTGAAGCTCACATCAAACTCTGCAATGACACTGCCTTTCTTTAGGTTGGTTACCTCAACACTCTCGAATGATTGATCATAGCGGAACTCAAATTGGATTGCTTTCTCAATGACTGCCTTTGTCTCTTGGTATTTCATGCTCCCTTCCTCTTTAAGTTCTTCACTCCAAGAAAGAGAAGCAAATCTAAGAGACAATTCAAATTTGCTCTTTACATCAATAGTTATGCATGCTTTAGAATCATCAGTTCCCTTGTTTTCAGTGGTTTTACCTTCAGGACACTTTTTACAGTACTTCTGGCTGGTCTGTTCTTGATACTCCCCAGATGGACACTTTTTGCACAGCTTTTGGCCTGGCTGATCTTGGTACTCCCCTGTAGAACAATTTTTGCACTGCCCTTGGCCTGTCTGATCTTGGTACTTTCCTGTAGCACATTTTTTGCACTGCTCTTGGCCTGATAGATATTGGTACTCTCCTGTACCACACTGTTTGCACTGCTCTTGGCCTGGTAGGTCTTGATACTCCCCAGATGGACACTTTTTGCACAGCTTTTGGCTTGGCTGATCTTGATACTCCCCAGATGGACACTTTTTGCACTGCTCTTGGCCTGGTAGATCTTGGTACTCCCCTGCAGAACAATTTTTGCACTGCTCTTGGCCTGATAGATCTTGGTACTCCCCTGTAGAACAATTTTGGCACTGCTCTTGGCCTGGTAGATCTTGGTACTCCCCTGTAGAACAATTTTTGCACTGCTCTTGGCCTGTTAGATCTTGGTACTTGCCTGCTGGACACTTTTTGCACTGCTCTTGGCCTGTTAGATCTTGGTAATGACCTGGTGGACACTTTTTACACTGCTCTTGACCCAGCTGATCTTGGTACTCTCCTGCAGGACACCTTTTACACTTGGTGGAAGACTTGTTTAAGAACTGGCCCTTGCTACACTTCTCAAAGCACTGAGAAATGCTAGATTTCCCTGTTGCATTTGTGATTTTGTCTGGTCCGCAGGACTTGCATGTCTTGTTTTGATGCTGATTAATATCCTGGTATGTATTCATTGGACAATCATCACACTTTCCATTAGATTCCATAAGAAATTGTCCTGGTCCACATAACATAATGCATTCAGCAGAACTTTTTGATCCTGGATTCAGAGTTGTTTTGTTCATAGGACAATCCATGCAAGTGTCTTCGCCCATCTTGTCTTGATATTTACCTTTTCCACAAGGAGTACACTGTTTTGAATCTGAGTTGTAAAACTGGCCTGGTGGGCACCTTGTGTAACAGTCACTGCTGTCTTTGCTGCCAGTTGCTCTGGTTGTCTTACCCACACTACAGGTCTTGCACTTGGTGAGTGCATGATTGTCAACATCAATGTAAGAACCGATAGTGCAACTCTGACAAGCACCACTAGATGTGTTGTAGAAGGAACCTGATGAACAAGGGTCACGACATTCCTCTACACTCTGTGCTCCTGGAAAGCTGGTCTTCTTTTGATCAGGACAAGGCATACATGTGGGGTTAAGCCTTGTTGAAGAGTTCTGGTAAGTATCCTGTGGACACCATTCACACATCTTAGAGTTCGAATCCACATGTCTTCCCTTCATGCACGCACTATTGCATGGAGTCTTAATGGGGGTCATCTTAATGGTGCCATCACTCTTTGTGCAGGAGATTGCACCAGAAGATGCTCTACTTCCGGAGGGACATTCCTCACACATGTGGGTAGACGTGTTATAGGCATGGTGCAGTGGGCAGGTGGAACAGACAAAAGATGTATCATTACCAGGGACCTTAATATAGTGTTGTAGATTATCACATAGAGGTGTTACCTTTATAGAAGCTGATGCCTTATCTGGAGTGAATGAGTCACTTCCATTATTCATGACTAAATCTTTGGAGTTCAAAACATTATCAAGGTTCAAGTTTTTGTATGCTGTGATCAGCTCTTGAAGTTTCACATTGGCTTCCTTTAAAGTTGGAGGTTTTGTTACACGGTCTGTAATTGTTATTATCATTCTGGCTGGCTTGTCACCAGTGCAGTTCACTTGAACTTCCTTCCCCTTGCAATCCACATTTTCATCACCACCAGGAGCAAAACACACACCCTTGGTTTTTACGTCATTGTTTTGTTCCATGGACACCCTGAAGGCACTTTTTATTTTTTCCGAGTCAGCATCTTTACAAGTTGCATTAACGTAATCGAACTGCAACAGCGCTTTGATTTGTAATGGGCTTTGCACCTTCTGACAAGCGATGTGCATGTTATGAATATCAATATCCCATTCTCCTTTCACGAGATCGCACTTCACTTCTTTACTTATTGACAAGTCCATATATGATGGTTGACACTTTACTTTACAACTTCTTTCGCGATCACTCTCAGAACACTCTAGAGTTCCATTATCTACAGACCGACAGCGACACATGTGCTGATAAGGTTCCGGAGCGACTTTCCCGCGAAAACTCGAAGGCCCTTCCTTTTTTTGGCTATCTCTGAACTTAATGAACAAAGCGTTACTCGTGGTAATGTACGTCAGTGGCAACCCAGTGTCCGCTTTTAAACCGAGAAGTTGGCCTTTTTCAGGGCTTGGGCCGTCGTATATTTCGAAGACCGCTCCATTAGCGAGGTTAAATTGCTCGACCACAAGTTTTACCCGCGCTGATTCTAGAAATACAACACGGCTACATTCTCCGCCGTTTTTCATGGCATTCTCTTCGGTGAAGTTCAACGCCAGGGTTAAATTTTTACCTTCAATTTTACCGACACCACATAGGTCGACATCGGCCGCCAGAGACGCTGATGCAAGAACTATTGGAAAGCAGAAACAAAACAAACCAGTAACAGACACCTTTATCGCCATTGCCCCTCAGACAGTTCCCAAACTGTTAAACGAAGCAAAAAGACAAGACCCTTTCCGCTATTGATACCACCAGAATATCCAACGTGGTCGCCTCAGGGTGAAGGCTAATGGAACAATAATAGCCCTGACTAGCTCAAACGTGCGAATAAAGACTAAAGCACGTGGAAAAGTGAATATTCATGACGACACCAACACTATCATCTGAGTAAATAATCTGACGTAAAATTGATAGGTTTCCCTTTTGAATACTGATTAACGTTTTCCAAAACTTTGATTGTTTCTTGCGCTTTTTTCTTCCTTCATCTTTTTAAGGATTTTGAAGGTGTTTGCTGATCATGTTTCCTAAAAAGCGACCTCGAAATAGTTTAAGATTTTTACAAGTCAAAAGGAAACCTTTTGTTATTTCAAGTTTTGTTTGGAAGGTAGAACAATATCTGACTTAAAAGACCCCGCCATAAAAAAATCAATAACCCCTTCATCTCCTTAATCGAAAATTGTAAATTACACCAGTTATATTTCACGCCGATTGGCTTTCGGCTGTAAGCACCACCTAAATATGAATTTTAAATTGGCTTTGATTATTTGACAATGCAATATCAAACAAAGTTTTCCAGCTGTGAAAAGGCGATATTAGCGGGTTCTCAATCCAGTTTAAAGTAAAGGTTTTGTACTGCATACCAGACATGCCTCTTTACATAGTGTCTGAAGAAACTGTAGGCGAACGTTGTCGTCGTTTTTTGTGAAGCTCTTTTTGGAGGATGAGGAACTTTCTATTTTTGTGAATAAGAAAAGGTGACAATGAATAATGAGTAAATTATACGTCGGCTGACTGAATTGTTATCGTGTCTTCAGGGCACCCCAAAAGAACTCTAGAAAAGGAGTTTACGCGCATAGCTTAGATTTAAATTTGTCTTATTTCCCTACACAGCAAGCTCAAAGATAATCCCTCCGCCCTGCTGTATTCTTTGTGCGATAAAGGTGGCATTGCTTTTAAAGACTTCTTGTTTACAACGCAAATTGTTTCTTCCATAAAATAAACCGATCATGGAACATCTGGTCGCCAGAGTTTTCCACAAAGCAGTTTCGATGGCGTGCCTTTTTCGTTGTTAAATGATATTTTGAAAACGGTTTCGTACTGGTTTCTTGGGCTTGAAAAATACTTCCCACCAGTGGGAGCCAGGTGACACATTATTTGTTTTGAAAACTCACGCTGATGTACAGAACACTAATAACTTTTAAAGAAAGGCGCTTTTTTCTCTAAGAGAAGTGTCCCTCCCGCTTCGCGTACTTTCATTTCTAGCCGCGTAGCAGCTCGTTACTAGGGGCCGCGTGCGCGTGTGTGAGATGAGATAAGTTGAGTTTGTAGTAACGTGAGCGGAAAAAAGCGGTGTTGTTGTGAGTGTAAAACCCGTGAATAAAGTTGTCTAAAACGGACCAGCCGAGTTTAATTGTCGTCCAGCAACGACAAGAAGAAAGTGAACTTTTGAAACGTTTGTTGATAGGGCAGGTGATGTAAGGTGGTTGGAAAACCACATTTTACCTACGGGAAAGATAATATTGGGTTTCCCTAATTTAACCAAACCTAATGAATGGATTTTGCGGCCTACAGCTCTTTTAGCAGTTCCCTCGATCGTGAAAGATAACAATATTTTGATTATAAATATTAACTAAAATAGTCATATATCATTGGTTAGTTAAATTAGTTTTTTTCCAAAAGTGATGCCATGTTGAACTCTTGCCAAACGTAATTCAATTTTTCATAACATGGATGTTTCCACCATTTTCTCGGAAGTAAATTTAGATAAGCGTATCGATAATTATTCCTGCAGTTTCGTGCAGACGAGGTAATTTCCTTTTCTCTGTAGAATGTGTAAATAATTAATACTTCATAATCATTTAAATCATTAAAATAATGGCAATTTTTGCTGAGAGACATTAAAGTAACGAATGATGGACAGCTGTATTTTCTGGGAACTTACTGATTAACATATTTCGGTTTCCACTCCAATCTCTCCGGCTGCTTTCGCAGCGATTTTCAAATCTTCGCATGCAGATCAATCACAGTCCAAGTTATTCCGATATTCCGATTTTTCTTCGTGGTTTTAGTGACCTTTTTGTTCATATATTTTTAACATTTTACCATTTATGTAACGTTACCTAGGAGCCGAAAGCGAAAGCAATATGCTCGTCGTGTGACACGTCGTGTGATTAGATCTTGCTGCAAAAGCTCGTGACCACATACGCCAGCACTAAGAATGTTTCGTTCATATCAGCCTCTAAAAATAGACATGATTCCGAAATCGAGTATTCTTTTGTTCTGGGTATAGGGGTAAGGATGTAAAGAGACTGT